AATTAATTTATATAAAAAATACAAAAGTTGACATTTATTTTACCATCATTGCCATGTAAATAGTTTTAATTAGACTAATAAATTAAATTAAAGTCAATATTTATATTTTCCCTATGGATTAATTACAAAAATGTACAATAAATTGACTCTTAACATGTATCCTAAGAATACATGTTAAAAAAATCTTGAAAAAAAATACCCTTTTTAAAAGTATTAATAAAAATATTTTTTATAATAGTTTATTGAAATGACTTGATTTTATAGTGATTTTCTTCATATTTTTAAGAAATAATGTAAATAAACAATAATCCCTCATAATTAAAATGGAAGGTGAAATTGTTATCACTATTTGAATTTGAATTTATGGATTTTAAAATTAAGGATTCACTCATGCTAGTATAACTTTTAAGTTACCTCTGACCACTCATTTTAATGTTCAAATAATTAACTTGACACTTAAAATTTAAAGTTAACACTTAAATTTTAAAATAAATGAATGAAAATTGATGTAAGACTTGGACTAGAGTGAGGGAATTATAACTTTTCTAGATCTCTAAAATGACAAAGCATTGCATAATAACATCTCAAGAATAGGGCTGTGGTTATCACAACTATCAATATTGTTAAAACTATTCAAATTTTATTTTTTTTATAAACAATGTTTGAAAATATCAATTTATTAATTAATTTTAATTTGTTAATTAACAAATAGTATTTATTTTATTAATTATTTTTATCAATTAAATTAAATAATATTAATAATTTTAAAAATAAAATTTTACGGTTTAATATTTATAACATTATTGTGAGTGGCATAGGAACCTAACCATTCCCCAAGAAGGGGGATTATGCTTATGCACTTACCTTACAGTAAATTTCTTGTGCCCTATATTTGTTTTTCAAGCAACGTTTGGTACCAGCCTCCCCTGGGTCCTGCTGGCTAAAAATCTGGATTCTTGGCCTTGGGGTTTGGGGTTCAAAGGCTGGTGAGAAGGATGAGGATCCAAATTCCAAAGATGAAAAATAAATAAATAAACAATCACTGAATAAAGGTATTCTAAAATACCTTCTTTTTTTTTTTTTTTTTCTTTGAACAAATTATAATTTTGAAGAAGGAAAATTCTAGCTTTAATCCTTAAATTTGGAGATGTAGCTTTATGATGAGTTATATAGATATATATATATATATATATGTATATTTTGAACAAATTACAATTTAAAAAAAAAAAGAGTTCGAACTTTAATCGTTAAAGTTAGAGATGCACCTTTATGATGAGTCACTTATATATTGAACATGAAGTTTAGTGTTTAAATTACTTTCATTTTTTATTTTTTGAATAAAATGTCATGAGTGGGATTCGAACTTCGAACCCATCAATAAGAGAGGGGACTGCATCTTCAAGATGGTTCGAGAAATAAGTATGCTTAAAATACCTTCATTTTGTCCTTGTAAAACTAAAAGTAGTCATGCGAGTTGTAGATTTCACATTTAACAAGCATCGTCTTTCACCGGCCTCTTCCCAGTCCAAATGGCTGAGTGTTTGAGTCTTCAAACACTCGAGTCATGGGTTCTGGGTTCGAAGGTCCGGTGAGCAGAGCAGAAGCAGCTATATCTATATATATATATATATACTCAAACAAAAGAGGTATTCTAAAATACCTTCATTTTGGGTGTTTTGCTCTTTGTATTTAACATTTGATTTCCCTTTTATTAAGATGGAGATATTTAATTTGTTATATAAAAAAAATATTTTACAATTTAAATTGAATTAAAATATAAATTTATTAATTATTAAATTAAAAAAGGATTGCTTCATTTAAATAATTGTCATTTTACATGCAGTAAAATAGTGAATCTGAATTTATTTTATGGTG